AAAAAAAAAAAAAAAAAAAAAAAAAGAAAAAAAAGAATACAGCAATACACTACAAGTACCTTTAGTCCTGGAAGTGGAGACCCACTAGCAACTTCTACATTGTCAATATCCTGTTTCGAAGTTTAAAAACTCTTCAAGTACACTGTGAACACAAACTAATTTTTTAACACCCCCCCAATGCAGGGTTGAATTTTAAAAAATAAAAAACAATGGAGAGACGAAAAATTTCAAGTAAAAATGACACTTGAAAGAAGCATTCTTCTCCATAGATCATGATATAACCTTCTATGATATTAATTACTACAACTGGATTATATGCAGCCGCAGGGTCGGTAATTCTAATGCATATAAGAGTTCATATCACTGGAGTACCCCAGTTCGAAAAGAAAAAATGTGAAACTTAAATTGTTTTTAAAAATCAACATCATGTAGAACTAATCATCGGGTGAAAGCATGAAAGTTTATTTCAGTAGGCTGTAGCTACCAAGAACACTTTCTAACCAAAAATTGATTTCCAAGCCAGTTACTTGATGTACGAAGGAATAAAGTTTGTCGCCAAAAATACTTACCTGGATGTCACCTTGGTCATCAACAGCCTGAGAATCGAGCTGAATTTTATCTTCTGTGAGGGAGTCGGAGGAAGATGGCTGATCTCCACCTTCAGAGCCATCTTTTTCCTACAAATGGAGGCTTAGTTTCAGTAACTCGTTACCATTCACAGGAATGGCGAGAAGTATTAAGTAATTGTGTAACTCGAAAAGAAAAACGTCAATTTCTGATTGTAAATACACACCCCTTTCAAGCATCCAACGCAATTTTGTAAGTGATTTATTAAGCATATACTTTAAGAAGATGACACCAGGTTCTAGCGTTGACCATGGCATCAAGTACTGTGCAATCTAGAATTCATGCCACAACATAAATTACGTGCCCTAAGTTGAATCAAAGGGACCTAATCAGAAAGAGGAGGAAAAACTTGCACATTGAGGTGAAATTATAGAAAATTGGTAGAAAGAAATTGATTATAGTGCCTCCAATCCAACAGGAAAGTGCATTGTGGATTACGAAGCAATTATGATTGTAAAAGTAATGAGAATCTATGCAAAACTTGATTTTAAACTAAACGAGCAACCACAACAGAAAAAAGAAAAAGGATTCGACTGCAGAATTACAAATACCTTATCGTTAGTGCCATCTGGTTCATTCTGCGTTTCAGTAACTCTACAAGCAACCCCTCGCTTTGCACGGCTATCAGTTAGAAGACAAAAAAAAGTAGAAGAAGAACCAATTCAATACGCTTACAGCCCTGCATTACGATCCCCCAATTCGAAACTAAGCAAGTTACCAGGAAAACTGATCAAGCTTAAGGCCGCGATGAGAAATCCGTTGCTCCTTCAAGCCAGCAAACGAAATCAAACTAGGATGGAAACGAATGTAGCAGCAAGAACTGTAATGAGACAAGGGAAAGGAATTCCCGCGAAAAGTTGCAGGAAAATCCATTGAAGAAACTACTGAATCTAACCGAGTAGATGAAAGAGCTCCATTGATTAAGATTGAAGCTCCAAACGATTGAGAGCTTTTCGACTGAAAATTACTGATTCGATGAGCGAGTGGAGGGAAGAAGATTCTGCGTTCGCGTTCGAGTCTTATCTGTTTCGGTTTTAGACGTGGTGCTGATGGATATCGAGAAATTAAGGAACAGATGAAACGGAAGTAAAGCGAATCTGAACTGCGAATTATTCCTTTGCACGTGTTATTATGGAGTGGATTAAAGATTGAGGGCTTTTTAGAAACAAACAAACAATCTTGTGGGCTAATTTGCAATTATCTATTTTAGGGGGGCCAATTATGGGAACATAGAAATAAAAACAATATATATTTGATTTTTTTATTTATTTATTAGGAATTCAAATATTTTTGAAATAATTTTAAAAAATCCAAATTGTTCTAATACTCACAGCTTGGGAGTTTCTTCCAAAGTTACCCAAGCAAACAAGAGAGGGTGAAATTTCTTGTCCTTGCACCGCAAGCAAATGGGATTGTTTCCTGAAAAGAAAGAGAAAAACAGAGTATCACAGAGCTGAAGTAAACTACACAATTTATTTACAGCCTTGTTCTACATACAAACAACAGTTAAAACTCTAGTTTTACTGTTCATACTGTTTATACTAATCACAAGCAGCTCATGATTCTGAAGGCTTCACATCCCAACGATTCTTTCTTTTTCTTTGAGCATGAGGAATGAGTAACCTGGCAAACTCCTCAGGCAATTGAGCTGGTGTCAAGTGCACCAAGTCTTCCCTGTCGTCGCCACCGGAGGAGATCCACCCGTGATAAGGTTTTCGCCTCCTTATTTTAGGGATATGTGCCGCCAGTAAAGACTGGTTCATAGAACTCCTTATAAAATGGTTATCAGCAACACCAGAACCTATATCCTCCTCCTTCCAGTATCTTTCATCTGCAGATTCATCACACATAATAATATTCTTCAGGGCCCTTCACCATGATAGATCCACAATGGCAGTGAAATCACACACAAGATCAACTCATAGTTTCTTTGCCAAGTAACCAAATGAAATCAATTATTGCCTTTAAAAAGCTGCTACTGTTATCCATTAGAACATAGACTTTCTTGACCTCCTAAATCCGTTTATTTTGCACATTTGTAATAATCTAAATGTTTAGCTGGTTAGGTGGTAGTTCGGCCTTGAAGAGAATGTATCTAAAACAAGGTTACAAGTTTAAGGCATTTACGAATATAACTCATGAAATTACAATTAAAGTAATTGATAAAATGGTAGTTATAGAACGGCGAAAATCCATAAGTTTGGTTAGAAATGTCAAACTAGTTGCCTGAATCATTTGCAGGTACTGTGGCTGTGATCCTGAAAGGTTCATTGTCCACGTACGATGAGATTACACCCTCAGTCGGTTTCACGGTAATCTCAGCCCCAGGATTAGATGTGGAAGCTTCATTAACAACATTGGAGGAACAGCCCGCTTCAGAGGTCTCCTGAAGATCTGCAACTCTTCCATCCTCTTCATGAACCTTCAAACAATGAGCATTAAAATATGGGGCAATGCAGAAGAGATAAAACAGTTGAAAGAATAAAAGGTGTGCATTTTTCTGATAATTAGTTAACACTATTTCAACATAAGAAAAGTAAACCCGGTACGAGTTAAACAAAAACGATATATGCACGAGCAAATGTTGTACTCATTGCGAACAATTTGACAATGACTAGCAAAAGGGCACCTCATAAACACCAATCTGGGAATAAGAACTAGTTTGAAATTTTTGATCCGGAGTTTCTTTTGGAGCTAAACATTTCAATTCTTATTTGTATGCAACATACATCAATGGTTCTCCGTTGGAATTGTTAAACATTCATAAACCATTATACAAAGGCGAAGAACGTGCTTACATCAAGAATCAAATTCAACAAAAATAGTTGGAAAATAACCTTCTCTATTGCACCATCTTTCCGTTTCTCGAGAAGGGTATCAATCAAGAGAGTATAAGAGCCTTCTTCAATGAATACCCATCCTTCGTCTCCTCCATACACCTAAACCAAATTCTCCAAACACTGTATGAGATTATAAAACAAAGTATAGCGATGATTGCAAGAAAGCCAAAACGTTTTAGCAATGCAGCAGCTTCTTGAGTCCCTATTTCTAAGCACTTGCATTCAAATAATTGACCTTGAAATGGGGGAATCTAAAAACAAATACAAACTTTCAAGTATTCAGGGCAGTGGCCATCAGACCATTTTATCCGCTTGCTTTCTTAATTTTAAGACAGGAAAACAGAGAGACCCACAGAAGAAACACACACAAAAACGAAACAAAAACATGAACCATGCAGAACAGAGATGAAATCAGAAAAACACACGCTGAGGAGCTCCTTGACCGTGTCACGAACCAACTTCGGATGAAATCCGAAAGGATTCATAGCATCCAGCGCAGCATCAATTCGTAAGTTCCCCCTCTGAAATTCAAAATAGAGAGAGCCAAACAGGATATTACTAGAAAATTTGTATTACATCCAAAAGAAATGCAGAAATCTCTTCGCAACGACAAACAAGGTTAAAAAAACGAAACAGAACCTTTTTACTTCGCTCCCTGGGAGCCATTTATGAAGCCCAACAAAGAAACGTCGAACAAGCTCCAACTGTGAAAAAATTCCGGTGCTAGGGTAACCGAGAAACCTAATGAAGGAGGAAGTAAGAATCACTACACCCGACTCAACAACGCTACAATCCGCTGTAAACGTACTAAAAGAATGAGGAAGAGGAAATTGGGTTTAGAAGAAACCTGAGAATCGAAAGCTTGAAAAAGGAGCATATCTTGATGAGCAGAATTGGATGGAGTGGGAATCAATATGAAGAGATATGGGGAGAGATTTTGTTCAGAAATAAGAGAGAAAGAGGAATGTCAGTCGAAAATTTTGCGGTTTCTGGTACGAAGACGAAAGAGCATGCAGGAAGAAGACGAACGATTTTGGCGCAATAATCGAGTGTTTCTTTTTCTTTTCATTTATTTCTATTTATGTGTGTGTATAAATATATATATATATATATATTTTTTTTTTTTTTTTTTAGTTCTGATAAGCGTTAAAGTTTGAATTCTTATATTTTCTTTCAATTTTATTTTTTATTATCGTTTTTAAATTGTTTGTATTTGCTGAAATTGACTTGATAAATTCATTAATTACTCCATAAGCTTTTCAGTTTGGGCTGAAATTGAAATTTTAAAGTAAAAAAGTTAAAAGATGTTTTTCCTTTAATTTTCAATCTTAATGTTAATCAAACAACTAAATATTTGAAAGTTAGATGTCACAATTGTACTTTTTTGACGATCATGGACAACATGCCGTAGACAAATATAATCATGACACTAGACACCAAGAGTATGCAATGTTTGTGCCTAAAATGGCTAATATGACTCATTTCTCAAAAGGACATACCTAGCTTACATTATAAGTCTATAGCCCTTTGGTCAACTTTGTTGAATGATTAAATCCCATATTGACTAATTTAGGGAATGATCATGGGTTTATAATTAAAGAATACTCTCTCCATTAGAATTGGGCCTTTTGGAGAAACCCAAAGTAAAGTCACGAGAGCTCATGCTCAAAGTGGATAATATCATACCATTGTGGAGAGTCGTGTTCATCTAAAAAACTGTACTCATAACTTGATTTCTAATTAGATAGAAACGATCGCCAACTCAAAAAGAAAAGGGGAAGAAAGGGGCAGGGCTCGGCTAAATGGATGAAGATCTTCATCTTGAAACCAATTAACTCAGGCAAGGGACCAAAACATAGCAGTTTCATTTCTGTTCCTAATGTAGAAACATCCTTCTAATACTTTCAGATTTAGCAATTTGAATTCAGTCCCTCCAAGTACATCACAAAAGAGTAGAACAGTGGGAGAAAATGATACATAGCCATCTAAGAATGGAATCCATCCAGTTTCTCCTAAACATATATAAAACGAACATCGCATCGCATAGAGATATATAACGAGAATGAGCAGACAAGATTTGGATGAGATTAATATGCATATCAGAAGGGTGGATGAGGGGAACCTTGATGCTCTCTGTGTATGCCTTTGTATATTTATATAATTGAGACTTGAGAGAGAAAATTCAATGATGGGCTGTTGTTGAGCCCTGGGGTGGACACTGGTAGCACTTTGCAAAAAGCCCAAAGGTGTCAACTTGCTTGATGAAGTTGGCCATGCTGGCCCACCCTCCAAATCCAAACCCAATGACCAGGACCCACACCACTATAAAGCTGTTCACCACATACATGCCTACCCAGCTAGGGAGGAAGATTGGAAGTTTCTCTGCAGCATTCTGCACCCAAAACATACACGTTCCTGACATGTCATACTTGCAAACACAATATGTAATGTCATAATCATCTTCATTCATCTAAATATACAGGAGTTTTCATTATTGTAACTTCTGGGTTCAGTTCATTAGAATTCTAGAACTGCATTCATCACTAAATTTTAATGAAGAAGACCGTTGGCTTATCAAGTGACAAAATCATATGCATTAATCTACAAGTGGGAGTCTAAGCACAGGCCAGCTCGAGCTGACTTTCGACCAAAAACCGACGGCAAACAAACATTGTTTAAAAAAGAGATAACAGCAATAACAACATTGAACCTGTATTTATTAAGACCAAACCTACTGCAATAATCATCTCAAAGTGGCCGAAACCAACAAAATCGATTTAAAATGACTAAACATATTATACAAACTACTAAATTGACCAACTATTTTTCAGTTTTTCAGTTCAGTTTTGCACTCCTAACTACAACAGCAATTAGGATAAAAAGGATCCAAACTAGTTGGCAAAAGTAGTATCAACAGCAACATACTTTGATTTGACACGTCCAGTAATCAAAAAAGCCTAAAAATTCGCTCAATTAGCCAACTATTGGTTCTATCCTTTCGTCCGTACAAAGAAAAAAGGGCACAATATTTGGATTGTGAAATAGGGTACAACACGCTACAGGGAAGGGTGTCTTTGATTGGCCCAACTTAGTTGAAGATGTGGCTAGCATGGAGAATTGTGACGAAAGCAGATAACTGAATGAAAAGGAAATGCTACCCACTCCCATAATAAAATGTTCCATGAAATTTCAAATGCTAGTCATTATAATAATCAGTGGGGCTAAAATGGCTATCTGTTGGAACTCATTTCCAGCTTAAATCATACAGCTGGAACCATATCCACAAAATGATAAGAATTGAAAGGACCAACTCTTTAGGGAACCCTCACTGTTATCACCTGTACTTGGTGTCACTATATTGAGACCTGGTAGGACGGTCAGATTCTTAACATAAAGTTTCCAGCATAGCCAATCTTATAGACTGATTCATATCATATAGATGTTTTCATCAATTCAAAGGACAAGCATTGGAAGTTATATAATTATGAAGATCCCAAGGAAGAATCACGGGTAACAAACAGATATAACAAACAGATATAAACAGCTCAAGACTAAGTAAGGAATGTTCTGAAATCTGAACCAAGTTTGCATTAAAATTTTCAATGATTCAGCTAGCAGCTTAGAATGCCAAAGTAGTAGAAAAATTAGACCAAATCTAGCCATGACCCAGCAATGATATGATCAGGAAGTAAGGGCAGATTGGATTGAATGAATTCAATACTCAATTCAGGACGAGAAATCGACAATGCCAGTTGGATGAGCGCGTATTAGGTAAAATATGATTGAAGAAATGAAATGGAAAGATCAAAGGCAAAGGCAAAGGCATTTACCTGTCGGGCAGAGGCAGATCTGAAAGTGAGCATATGGGCTAAAGATGGGATGATGTAGACGGTGAAGCTAACCAGAAGCGCCCCTACCGCAGAGTTGATGGGTCCAAAAAAAGGGAAAATAATAGCCAAAAACCAAATGGGTATCACAACCGGTAATCGGGCAAGCGCCCTCAGACACATGCTCTTTGTTTCGTGCATTCCAATCACTTTCTCCCACACGAAATACAACGGCGTACAAGCAAACCCAAATGTTATGAACTGCACATCAACCGTTCGATCAAATGCATAAGCACAAAAACAGTGAGAAAAACCAAAATTTGCAATAAAGGGTAAGGACTATTCAATGCACATTCCTATCACTCTCCACCACACGAAAAACAATGGGATGCAAACAAACCCGAATGTTCAGAACTGTTCGATGAAATGCTGCAAAAAGGAAGTTAAAAAGCACGAAAATTGCAATAAACTTAGGGATTTATGGAGTAGACCTGGTGAATGAGCATGAGAATGATCGCTGTGGTGCGCCATCCGTTGGTGGGAAGAAGAGAGAAAGCGTTGGAGTGAGTAAGGAGTTGGTCGCCGAAAGCCCAGTAGACGGCGGTGGCGGACGGGATTGTCAATGTAAAGACGTATAGAGTGGCGATGAAATAAATAAATTTGAACTTTCGAGGCTTCCACATAGCGTCCATTATTTCCCTGCCGCGCCAAAAAATTTCTTCATTTTTTTTTTCTTTTTTTAATTGGATAAATTAATAATAATAAAAAATCAACTTTATATTTAATTTTTTGACATCTCATAAACTAAATTTCATGAATATTTTTTAAAAAAATTAAAAATTCAAGAAACTTTTTGAAACCCTTTAAAAAATTCAATTTTTCTAAAAAAATATATAGAGAGAGAGAATATTTTTATTAATTTAATTCATTTAAATACTAAAACTAAAAAAACAATTTAAACATAAAATATCAGAGAAGGATGAAGATCCAAGAAGAACAAGAATAAAGGTCATGAATAACTTAGCCTAATCCATTTTGTAGGCAACAAAAATTAAGAATAGACCCAACTTTTGGATTCAAATTTCAAAAGGGATATCAGCAATTCATTCAAATGGTAAGTTCCAAAAGAAAGAAGAGACTCACACAGTCACAGCATGGCCACCAAAGGTGTACAGTATGTTGGTTGCCCCAGTGAAATAGAGCACCATTTTGGTTGGCCCAGAGTGTTGGACCCCTTCAACCTTCAAAGTTCCAGAACAAAAACTCAACAAAAAGAAAGCAAAATTTGACTACAAATTGAAATGATTCGATGAACAACCAGACCTGGCCATGAAGAACAGCTGCAATGGTCAAGTACCAAGCCGTGTAAGTGGTCATTCCAAGCCCAAGAAAAGACCAAATTCTATAGTTATGAAACGATGGTATGAACACCGTCGTGGCGCAGCATGCTCCAAATATATACGTCCATGTCCTCTTGTCTAGCTTGTCATTTATGTAATATATATTGCTGCCATCATGAACACATTTCAGTACTAATTTCACCATCCATTTGGAGAACAGAGGAGAAGTGATGAACCTTGCACAAGCTATTAGCTGAATCACGGATCCAAAGAGGAGAAAAGTGCAGTTGAAAGCCAATCCAGCAGCCTTCCAGTATGGTCCCAACAGCCCATCTAGCACTTCAAACCACTGAACAAACGAACATGTTCAAAGAAGCTAAAAAACAGAGCTTTGAGATTGTGAAAATGGCGGTGGGTTGTCCTGTTTTTAATCTAACCTGAATGACATGGTTTTTGAAGCTCACATTCTCTTTTTCCTTACGAGTTCGATACTCAACGTAAAGAATGCTGATCAAATAGGCTGTCCAGCTTCCAATGATGCCGTAAAATACTTGAAATATGATGCCCGAGAGCATACCCAGTTGAGAAAAGGAGTATGGCAGCGTTAACAGAACTTGAGCAACCTTTAAGAACATCAAAACAAAAAGGACATAACTTTATCATCATAAACAGAGCATTATAAACAATGGGATTTTGTGGGTTTTGTGAGTTCAGACCTGATTTGATGCACAGCTGAACCAAGCATCATAAACAGAGCCTCCATGCCAGAGGAGGCTTTTGAAGCTCAATGGAGATTGATTTGGCTTCTCTTCTTGATGATCCCTCTCGTTTTGTTCGTTCACAGTTTGATCCATTTCCTTGAATGATAATAATATAAAAAGAAAGAAACTTTCGAGGACCCAAAGAGGAAAATGAAGAGAAATCAATGACGTCCTCTGTTTACTTGATGAACGTTAAAACAGAGATGGCTCTGTTTCAGAGTGGATTGAAGGAAGAAGCCGCCGTGAATTTATAGCTCCAGAAGCGCCGGTTGTGCCTTAATTTTGCGGCATTCCCACGAAGAAGAAGAAGAAGGTGGCTCGGAATTTTGGGGTTTCTACTGATATCTGCTAGCTTTCTCTCTGTGTGTGCTCTGTTTTTGCCTGTCTGAAACTTGGAGTCAAGAGGTGCGTTTTAAAGGGAGTGAAATGCATAATTAAGTTGCCAGAAAAAGGGTCACAGATCTGAATCATGTGGAATTATTGATGATTCAAATGGTAGCCCAAAAGGGGGGAGAAAAGGTTTGAGGGAAAAACCCAATAGGATGAGTGAAATTTGGTGTTCATTTATTTGATGCTTTTTGGTGTTAGCAGAGAAACAAAGTTGAAGGAGATGGCGATGTGTAATGAACTGAATCCTCCAAAAGAGGAGACATGAATTTTGCTCCCTCATGGCTTCTTTTCTCTCCATACCCTAAATCCACGTGGAATGTCTCTCGTATCGTAATGGTTCATGCCTATCGTTAGACTTCCTCGCGAAGTTTTTAAGACGTGTTTACTAGGAAGAAAACCCACGTCGAGAAGGGAATGAAGCATTTTTTTAAAAGGGTACGAAGACATTCCCCTAGAAGACGTTTTTAAAAAACCCTGTGGAAAATCCAAAATAAAAAATGAGTTGGTACTGTTACACATAAGGTATTGTTTGATCAAACGTTTGATTCTTTGAATTTATGGTATGATTTTTCGTTTATAATCTAAAGTGAAGATTGATTTGTACTCCGAATTTGGTGGTCCATATTATAAATATAATGAAGGCATTTGATTAAGACGTGACAAAAACACCTAATTCCTTAAGAATTTGGTGAACTAACTCTCTTTTGACGGTCAAAAAGTTTGTTCATAGAATCCAACCCTTTTCAATGATTTGGAAGTGGCATCTTTGCTATTCACTCCCTTTTCCCAATTTAATTGTCTATTTACTCCCTCTATTTTTTCTTAATTACCCTAAAAGCCTAATTTAATAAAACCTAAATATCATATATAATTTTAAATGCTATAAAAATCACGAGATATATTATTATGAACACAATTTGATGATAGCATATCCGATTTGAATCTTAAACCTTAAGAAAATTAAATTAAATATTTAATAATTAAAAACAAAATGTAAAAAATACGATGAATTCAAAATCAAAAGCTTATTATGGACCTAAATAAATAAAAAGTATGATTTGAAAGTGTTAAGACTGAGCTCTGTTACCATGTTAAGAATGAGAAATATAAGTGGGATGGAAAGTACTATAAACATATATGAGATCAAAAGTCTGAGAAACATAGGTTGACTTTAGATCCCTTTGGACTTTCGATCTCACCTATATTTCTTCTACTTTTCATCCCACTTCTATTTCTCGTTCTTAACTGGAGACGAAGCTTTTGTTTGAATTTGGTATGATTTGGTAGCATTAAGTTTTTAGATTACAATCTAATAATTTTATTTGTTTAATGGGACTAATGATTGCATACATTATTTAATTATTAATTGGATTTGTTTTGTCTCCTAGCCTATGCATCCCTTGGGAGGGAAAAAAATAAATATAATTAATCAAAGTTTTTATTTTTTAACTTTTGCTCAGAATTTTTAAAATATTTTAAAAGAAAGAGGAAAAAATTTGAATAGATTTGAATTTTCGTTAGTGACTTATTGAAGAGCGAGAGTAAGTGGCACACCGTCATAGTAAGTCTATGAGCTTGTGTTTGGAGATTGGTCCGATTCAAACAAGTATTTGGTCCAACGCGTATGACATTGTCAAGGAGATGGATCAAGTGCATGCAGCCCAAACGTTTGGCTTGTAGAATCACCAACACCGAACCCAAGGAAACAAAAGCCACACATCACAGCACACCGGTGGTTAGGTCGAGTGCCCCGTCTGCTCTACACAAAAACGCCAAGGTAGAAAGTCGAAAGCGAGCTCTTTTCATGTACACACAATCTCGAAGCCCAATTAGCTCGCACCGTTGCTGCTATTTTTAGGACCAACCAACGTTCACTTACACCGGTACCTGCTTAGTGTAATATCGGTGGCACATTCAACAAACGGTAGCTTTAAAGAGCCCATTTGAAGCGGGTTTCGCACCAGTCTCCGATGTCCTCCGTGTGTAACATGTCTAGCTTTAAAGAGTATAATTGCAAAGGCCATTATTAGATGCAATTCCCAGTCGTATTTGAAGGCACCACCTGCCAAACATAAGTATCACCACCAATATTAATCGCTGCAGGCCTCCAGCAAAGACAGACCGGCGAGCAAAACGCCGCCGTCCGTACTGGTATCACTTAAGATGGGTTTCCGTACTGGGGAAGACAAAAAGCAACTGAGTGTTGCAGAAGAAACTATTATCGCCATCTTCATAATTTCATGTTCTGTTATTCCTCCTACAATATTTATTGACCCACTAAATACAAATAAAATTTAAATATAAAAAAAAAAAGTACAAAATATTAGTTTCAAAATTAAAAATTAATTAATTATAAATTATCCAATAAGACATCCTTGCTCCTGAAGTACAAAACCTATGGGTCAATCGGACTTGTACTTTATTGAGTTGGGCCGATTATTTGGGCCTTGGCATAAGATTTGTTTACCAAGCCCAATTAAACTGTGAGCCCAATTATTATGTGCTTCTTTGTTACCTAATTTCGGCGCCAGACCACAAGTCAACAAAACTACACACCGCATGTTCTACATCCCCTTAATGTTTTTTTTGTTCTTTTTTCTAATAAAAAATATTATTAAAAAAAAAACTTAATTTTAGTTTGTATAAATTTATTTTGTTTGAATTTTATCGTAAATAGTAGTTTAATAAATATTGTTTTAGATTAGGATTTTGGATTACATAAATAAATAGTTTGAGAAAAAATAAGTTAATATTTATCTAATAACCGTGCCAAATAGTGATGCAAACGAGCTATACATACAAATCCACTAATGAATTTGTATGCTTTAATTGGAACTGGAAGCTCCATAACAAGCAACTGGTATACCCACGTAGTTTGTCGCGTCAGCTCCAAAAAGATAAATTGCGTTGGAATTGAGAGTGAGTTATAATTGCATAAAAGGAAGAGAAGTAGTGGGGCGTGTCAATGCACTTCTTGGTCCTTGTTTACTCGACCTACCGACCCACTCTAAATAATTCATGGGTCAATGAGTCTCTAAGACTAGGGGCAGGCAGTATTAACCAAGTCAAGCTCAGTTCTCGCTACTTACTGTTTACTACAAATTCAAGCGGGCGACAATTTTATTTATTTATTAATTATAGGTTTAAATTTGACACGTATTTCATATTAAAAAAATAAAACAAATATTAATTAAAAAAAAGTGTACGGCGTTAATTCTCCGTGATTAGACAATTGATATTGATTGAGGATGATTTATGAGATAAGTGGGTGAGGTTTAAAGTCTATTAAAGAAATTAAGCTTATAATTAATAGTAGCCGCCAAGGAAGGCCTGCTTCTGTTTAATATTAATTTTGATTGGTTCCTTTACAAGACGTGTAAGCCAACACACCATTTCAACATCCAACTGTACGGCCACGTGGAATGATCGGGGTGACCCGTTAGGCACCGCCGCTGAACTCTGATGTGTCCGCGTGTGACCCGACAGCTGGACTTCATTATATATGGACGGAGCACGTGATTTCTATGCCACGTGTCGGAAACCCAACCAGCATGATTTCTGAAATCCGAATGTGGTTAGTTAGTTGGCCGGTAAGAACACAAGAGCCCATCCACAATCCGAGTCGGACACCAATTAAAAAAGTGGCTGGTATCCTAGTCAGTATCATTGGCCAGTAATTTCTTAACACGTGGCGTTATTATTATTATTATTTTTTATAATTGGAACCGTGGTAAACGCGGGTGATGGACATGTACTCTTGTTATAAGGAAATTTTAATTTTTTTTTTATAAATGAATACATTTTTTTAGTATATATAAAAATAAAAAATAGAAAAAAGGTATTTTTATTATTTATAAAATATAAAAGTCAAGGACTATTGATGATAATGCAAACTTATTTGAGCCTATCCATATATATTTCAAAATGGACGCCCTTGATTTATGTTTTGAAAAGACAATTAAAAAAATAAAATAAAATAAAATAAAATAAAAAGATTGCTATTGGAATGTGCATTAGGTATTCCGGCAAAAGGGGGAAAAGGCCTCACCAACTTGTCAATATAGAATTCCAAAACCAAAACATTATAATCTACGTCAAATAATTTTAATTTTATTATATTTTTATCTATCCAAACGACTTTTTATTTGAAATAGATAAAATTGAAAGTAAAAAAAATATGATTTTTTTTTTTAATACACATTGTTGTTTTGGATGCTCTTCTTATTTATTTCTCGTTTTTTCCAAAGTACTTTAAAATTATCCTATAAAAATACACAGTATATTATATATTTTTTCTTTTGGAAGATTATACCATTATATAAAAATTGAATTTCAAAGCAATTATAATTTAATAATAAAAGTGAAATTTTCTTTTAATTTTATGTTAAGAAACACTGGACTTCCTTTTCCTCCTTATAATTACCATCTTAATATTTGGAAAATAATTATTTTAATAATTGTATATCACTATATATCCAATATACATATCATAGCACATTAATTCACTTACCCAAAGCAAGACCATCTATTGTTATTTTCCCATTCAAATAAAAAAGATTCATTAGGTATACAATAAACTAAAATTATTTCCTGAATTAAAATAGGTATTTAAAAAGAAAAATAGAGATAATAAATATTTTTATATTATTTTTGGGGTTTCCTTAAAAGAAAAAGGCTAGAAATATTTTGAAAGCGATTTAATTATGATTCCATTTCTTAAGGGATAAGGAGTCGGAGAACGAAATAAAAAGGAGCGGCCGCCTACAAAGAGACACATTCGAAAATTAAAATCTAGGAGGATATGGTCAACTAAGGACTTGTTGTGGAGGGAGGCATATTTGAGGGAATAAACCGTCAACAAAATTAAAAATTAAAAAAAATGCAAGGGTGACAGGTGGCGAGACGTGAATGGTGGGGGCTATAAAATCCGGAATGAAATTGAACTAAAAACAGTCAAACACCAACCAAGCAGTCTAATTTCAAGGATTCCCATCCTCCCTGGAAATTTCCTTTATTTATTTATTTATTTACTTTTTTTTTCTAAAATTCCCCCGTTTGCTGGGATTATGGATAAGCTTCAACTTCATCCGCAATTTCCATTTTTCCTAAACAATTATTATTTTTAAAATGTTTTCAAATCTGATTTTTCCATTCCCCACGCCTTTGTGTCGTTCAAATTTATGCTACCTCCTATAAATACCCATATTCTTCCTCCATTCCTTCTGCGAAATCAAATCCAGCAATTTTCATTTCAAAATTTTAGGAATCACTCTCTCTTTCTTTCCGTCTCGGATCAGAAATGATCGATATGGGTTGGAAGGCCAACATGGGCTCTGAAAAGACGACCACTAAATCCTCAAAGTTGATTTCAACCACCACGAAGCTTAATTTGTCTCTTCCAGTTTCGTTTCATTCTTCAGAGCTCACCACAGCCTCGCCGTCGTCTTGTTCTTCATACGAGCAGTATCTCCGCCTCAACGATCTCAGGAAGCTATGGAGTTCTAGGGAGTTTCCTGAATGGAGAAACGAGTCGGTTTTGAAGCCGGGATTTCAGGCTTTGGAGATTACTTTTCGGTTCATTTCGACCGTTTTGTCCGATCCACGGCCGTACGCGAACCGGCGGGAGTGGAAACGGAAGCTCGAGTCTCTCACTACGAGTCAGATCCAACTCATTGCGATGATTTGTGAAGACGATGAAGAGGACGGCGAAGCACGCGGCAGAGTTCCGATCGTTGATCTGGGTTCATCCAACGGCGTGATTACTCGCGACGGAAGCTCGGCGGAGGTCTGGAAGATTCGCGGAGAAGCTACTGTTGTGAACAGAACGAGTGAAGCGAGTCTTCTTCCTCGGCTTGCTTCATGGCAGAGCTCTGAAGACATCGCGCAGATGATTCAGTATTCTATCGAGTGCGAGATGAGGAGGTGTCCGTACACGCTAGGGCTAGGGGAGCCGAATTTGGCCGGCAAACCGAATCTCGATTACGACCTAATTTGCAGGCCAAACGAGCTTCATTCTCTGAGAAATAGTCCGTACGATCAAATCGAAAATTACGAAAATCAAACGGTTTACACAACGCACCAGATCCTGGAGTCGTGGATTTACGCCGCGCATGAGCTTCTCAAACGAATCGCAGATAGAATCGAGCAAAAGAATTTCGCGAGAGCCGCGAGCGATTGCTACTTAATGGAGCGGATTTGGAAGCTTCTGCAAGAGATCGAAGATCTTCACCTTTTGATGGATCCGGACGATTTTCTGAAGCTGAAAAATCAATTAGCGATCAAATCGTTGCAGGAATCGGAGGCGTTTTGCTTTCGATCGATGACGCTGGTGGAGGTTACGAAGAAGTGCAAGGATTTGAAGCACAAGGTGCCATTGATCTTGGATGTAGACGTGGATCCAATGGGCGGACCAAGGATTCAAGAGGCGGCGATGAAATTGTACAGTGAGAAGCGAGAAATCGAGAAGATTCATTTACTTCAATCTCTGCAAGCGATCGAGTCGGCAATAAAGAAGTTCTTCTTCGCCTACAAGCAAGTTTTGGTTATGGTGATTGGAAGCTTAGAGGCGAAGGGGAACCGAGTCGTGGTGAGTTCGAACTCGGACGATAAACTGAGTCAGATATTTCTGGAATCCACCTATTTTCCGAGTCTGGACGCTGCCAAGACGTTCCTCGGGGATATACACTGTGTGTTCAGGTCGGATCGAATGACCCGAGTGAAGCCGTAGGACCCGGGTTGACTGGATCAGAAAAAGGTTGACTTTTGTTCTGAAATTTATTCATGCAAATATAGGTCTGGACCCCACACGAAAAATACAGCAATTTTAATTAATTAATTTTTTTAAAGGAAGTAATGTAAAATCTTGTATGAATATTCACTCATGCTCATTAAATTAAATTCTCAGCCCATTAAACTAAATTCTCGTGCTCATTAAATTAAATTATAATAAATGAAAGAATTGTTTTATAAAATGAAATTATAAAATTCATCGTATCTATAATCTACAAAATATTTTAAAATTGATCGTAGTAAGTAGTAAAATAATACATTAATAAAGCAATTAGTTTATTCATTAATTATCAATAATAATTTTAAATCTAAAATGTTGGAATTTTGGAACACAAAAAGTCTTTTGATTTCAATTATCAGAGAATTTAAATTTTCCTTTAATTATATTATGAAATCCTTAAATTTATTTGAAAAATTAATTTTAATATAAATATGATAAAATGGGCCTAATATCCTCTTCCAAAAATTGGAGCGTAATCTGAAACCCTAGTTCCGCTTCTGCGCTCGTTACTCGTCTCTCTCGGCATCCATTTCTACGGAGCTAGGTTAATTCGAACTTCAGGTCAATGGCGACGACTGAGAACACGGTTTTGCAATTTTCACAGTCTTCTAACTCTTTGTCTGCCAAGGTTCATCCTCTGGTTATCTTCAACATTTGTGATTGCTATGTGAGGCGCCCCGACCAGGCGGATCGAGTGATCGGTACACTTCTCGGCTCTGTTTTACCTGATGGAACCGTTGATATTCGCAACTCTTATGCTGTTCCTCATAATGAGTTCTCCGATCAGGTTTTCCTTACTCTGCATTGAACTCGTTTCTAGTGTTTCCTCGATGTGATTGTTTGAGAAGTAAATTATTTTTTGTGTTCTTATCGGTTTTTGAGTAATAATTAAAATCCTAGTTTCTTTATTTTTTCCTTGACGAATTGATCTCGTACACTCTTCCGTTTGGAGAATTAGGGTTCCCTGCCTTCTTTCTGCCATTTTCTTTTTCCAATTTGGATTCTTCGAGTACGTTTTACTCATTGTAGAATTACTTGTACGAGCGAATTGTGAACATTTAGAAATGTCGTTGCGGATGGGCTTTAAGAATTTTATACGTCTTTTTGTTTCATTGAATTTTAATGTTATAATTTGTGAGACTTTCTAGTGATGGTTATTGTTTGATCTACCATTTTGCAATAAATTCGCATATTCACTCTTTCATATCTTCTCTTCATTCCTTATATCATAACAGGTTGCGCTGGATATTGATTATCATCACAATATGTTAAGTTCCCACCAAAAAGTTAATCCAAAGGAAGTTATCGTTGGATGGTAAAGCCATTGATCCTTCTTTACTATGTATATCAGTAATGGTAAAAGTGCCTTTCTTTTTTGGATAAAAATCTGGATATCATTAAGATAATAGAGGAACAGAAAATTGCAGAGTGACAAAAATGACTTAATGTAAGAGGCTTACAAGGAAAAAAGGAGTTTTAGACGATATTGAACCCAGAAATTATCCTTCCAATTTCAGCTTTATCAACTATAGTTAAAGTGCTTTAGTTCGTTCACTAACACAGTCTGTTTTTGTTACTCTTGTCTGTTGCTCCTTTGGTTTTAAACATTGGCCTCTATAGATTTCTTACTTTCCCCTATGAAATTGGTTTCTTATTAGAAAGAATTTGGTTTCTTATAAGAAAGAATTTGGTTTGTAACTTTTGCTTGCTTGATACCATACCAATTGAAAGATTACTCCTGGTTGAAAACTTGAAATTCATTATTTGCTTGTAATGTTGATGCATAGTTCAACTAAAGTTTTTGTGAGATGAAATATTCTCCAATGGCGTATATGATAGACACATATTCTTATAATGTGTTATCCAACGTGACGGACAGGTACTCAACTGGTATGGGAGTTACAGGTGGCAGTGCATTGATACACGAATTTTATTCTAGAGAAGTTTCAAACCCTATTCACCTGACTGTTGATACTGGATTTAAAAATGGAGAAGGCACAATAAAAGCCTACATCTCTGTCAATTTGTCTCTGGGCGATAGACAACTTGCTGCTCAGTTTCAAGAAATTCCTTTAGATCTTCGAATGGTTGAAGCTGAGAGACTTGGATGTAAGAATTTAATCATTTCTCTTGTTTTACTCTTGCTATTGAAATGTTGAAGCTGCTGTCACTATATCCTAGACACTTATTGGCACACCATTTTTTTTATTAACCTAAATGCATACTTGAAGTTTTAGGGAGTATGTTGCATTATTGAAACAACTGTAGGAAATATTTGATCTTAGACTTTTTGAATATCCCCGGCTTATGTTAGAATAACGTATCTGGGTATGATACGTATTTTAGCATCTCTACTTTTGTAGCTTTCCTGATTTTTGTCCAAATATGAACATAGCTTGTGACTTTTTTTTTCCCTTAAACCCTGTACCAATAATTAATGTACTGCTATGGAGAATACGTCTTAATTATTTTCTGAAATAGTTCGATTGTGTTTGTTTCCTAATCCTGTCCATTCCCTTCAGAAACTTGCTGCAAGGGATTTTTGTATATTCTGGCAAAGCCCCTGTTCTAATGCAAAATTTGTAATGACAGTTGATATACTGAAGACAACTAGTATTGATAAACTGCCAAATGATTTGGAAGGAATGGAAGCTTCAATGGAGAGATTGCTTGCCTTAATTGATGATATTTACAAATATGTTGATAATGTTGTGGTGAGTGACGTTTGGGTCTTCTCTTTTGCTATATATCATATTCGTTTGCTTATGTTACTACTCTCTCAGGAAGGACATGTTGAGCCGGACAACACGATTGGGAGATTTCTTGCTGAGACTGTAGCCTCTCTTCCAAAACTGTCGCCATCTGCTTTTGATAAACTGATGAATGACAACGTGCAGGTTAGATTATTTTATCATACCTTACCTATCTTGATCCCCCACCAAATAAAATCTGGTATGCTGGTTAAGAATTAAATTGTTTGAGCTTGGCGTCTTGTAAATGGTTTACATAAGGTTCAATTTTATACATGGAAATCATCTAACCGTTTTACTATCCTGTCTCCATTTTCACTGCTTCCCACAGGACCATTTGCTGTTGCTGTATTTGTCAAGTATCACCAGGACACAACTGGGCTTGGCTGAAAAGTTGAACACGGCTGCTCAGATTCTGTAACTTCTTCAACCTGCATCCACGATTTTGTGTCATTTATTTGGTAATTGACCAATATCCAAGAATTTGTGTACTTAATTCTGCTGCAAAACGATCCCCTTCCCTCTTGAAAACCCCCTTTCGATTGAGTTCACTGTCAGTCATTTTATACTGCTGCTTTGTGGAATATGTTGCCTAGTTTAACAAAATGAGGGTTGTACTACCATTATTAGCATCAAGAGAATATTGTCCAGGCACCCTATTTTTTCCCCCCATACTCAGATACTTTGTCGCCATAAATCTGTCTTTCTCATCTTTCACCTCCAGATATTATTGTTCGTTGAAAGGTAACAATATGATTTACTCTCACTTTTCAATTTCTCTTTGGTTAGAAGATGAGTCCTCTTCATGTTTGGGCAGGGGTAGAAACAAAGCAGTAAGGGATAGAACCGTCTTTTGCTTGGTTTTGATTCTTATCATTTCTAGCCCTTTTGAAATTATTTATGTAATAAAATATGGATTGTTTTTGTATTATTATTCTTATTTTCATTGATTCACGTGAGTTATTATTGTATTTAACAGGCGTTGAAATTTGATTATAAATCAATAAGCTATTAGTCGATTTACAGCATTTACTTTTTATAGTTCAGCGGATAAAAACCTCACAGAAAGTGTTGGTTTCCATAAATTTTGTAGGAAATCTTCAATCCTACCTTTATTTTAAAATAAAAATAAAAGTAAAAATGATGAACAAATTAAATACAATATTGAAACCTTAGGATCCTATTAAACGAGTAATTCATGTAGTAGATAAGTTAACTTCTGAAGACTTTGAATACAGTTGTGATATAAAATATAAAATTTGTAATTTAAACTACGATGGTAATTAGTTACCTACTTGTCATGAATGGAATGTTATATTATAAGTTCCATGAAAGTTGGTGGACACGTGGATATTGATGATTGGTTGATTGTGATGGTCCTTAAAGGAAGCTGGAAATAAATAGTGGGTTTATTGCACTTTCTTTTTTTGCTCCTTAAATTACAATAACATGTTTGTTAAATAATGAGTTCTCCTCCACTCCCCACTCAATCGGTAATTGTTTTTTGTCCCTAAAAAAAAAAAAAAAAAAAAAAAAAAAAAAAAA